AATGATAAGCGCGCGCTCGTATTGGAAACGAATACTTGGATTATTTATTTATTTTAAAGTGGGTGACGTCATGCCGTTACCTTCATGGCGTTCGAAGTTCTAGCAAAGCGAGAGATCCCTTAGAATGATAAGCGCGCGCTCGTATACCCATTCCTCAAACTGTGACTTTAATGACAATAACAAGATTGAATTTTCATATACAGGGCGTTTGAGTTGATTGAAAATTGAAAAAAAAAATATATACAGGGCAGCCCATGGGGGTAAAAGAATACGAAAACGAAGATAAATAATCTATTTATTTAAGTAATCCTTTTCTACAAAAATGACATGCCTCTTGAGAAGATGGCGGTCCATCCCAGTGTGTGGTCCAATCGGGACGATTATAATGAACGAAGCATGGCAGTTTGATTTGTAGGTTAAAGTTGCTGCGATATTCTTGAGGAAGTTTGTGCCACACCCTTAATAGCCCATAAGGATCTGCATATTCAATGAGACATTCTACTGGAATGTACTGTAATTCTTCTTCAGTGAATTTCACCAAAGCCATTGCAGGAGATTTCATCGAGTCGAAAATAATATCCATCGCTGGCGCGCGGTTATTTTTGCAACGGATCTGTAGAGGTAGAGCAAAGCGAGAGATGCGTTCTAGAGATAAGACACACAAGTATCACATCGAAATAAATTTATGGTGAAATATTTGCGATAACCGTCACATTGTTGCCAGACGTTGGAAATTATTATTTATGAAGTCGATAAGGTGTTGTCAGATTTTCAAAAAATATCTGATGTCGCGTAATACATGACATATGACGTATGACAGATGGTGTTTGCAATATGATGTATGTAGGGAGTGGAAGGATACGAAAACAACTATATATTCTCTTATAGAGTAGTCATGGCTAATATTTGTGAGCGCTGTCATCAGCTGTGTACTGTACGAGAACTTTGTAATAATTGTTTTATAATAGAATGCCTCAATAGTGGAGAGCGGATTCCATTTAACATCAATTACACCTGGGAAAGTTTTAAAAAGAGAAAATTCACCTATAATAGACATCAGCTATTGTGTGAGAAATGTGGGAAATTCTTGAATAAAACTAACCTATACCACCATATGAGGAATGCCCATAGAGTGGACGCCACCAATTCGAATAACCTAGCTGATTAGCGGATGGCAGTTAATGGATACACCTATAGAAGTATTCAGAGGTATTCGGAGGTCTTCAGATCACGCCTTCAGATGTCTTCAGAGGTATTCAGAGGTATTCAGAGGTCTTCAGATCACGCCTTCAGAGGTATTCAGATGTCTTCAGAGGTATTCAGATGTCTTCAGAGGTATTCAGATGTCTTCAGAGGTATTCAAGAGTCTTCAGCTGTATATCAGACACCATAGCGTTCACATCATGGAGCCCCATTCATCAGAGCAAGCATTAGATGTATATCACTGTGCAGATTATGATAATGCTTATGGACCGAAATATGTTGACGGCAGATGGACACTTGGACATAAGAATCTACGCTTTGAGGACCAATACATAGGCGTAGATAATGTCGATTTTAAAAGTACTCTGGGTCTTTTGGAATTATTATTTTCCAAGAACCCTCGAAATTACACGCCTCTGGATCACCAGATGTATAAACAGATACTGGAAATCAGCTCTATTCATAGAGATCGATTAGGGCGATTACGAGGACAAGCTGATAAGGAGAAATTCGATAAAATTATCAGACCCCTCTTCAAAAATAAGACCAAGCCTAAACGTCCAAAGTCGAGCGTGGAGCCTGAAGCCAGTATTGGGAATGAAGAGTACCTACAATATTTTAGATGAATGAACAGATCCGAATATCTTGGTGGATAGACTGAGATATTTAATGGAATCAGATAAGAACAACAACGAGATTGCCTTTATTCTTACTGAACTTGAAAATGTTGGTATAATATCTAAAAAATAAATGATGTCAAAATTATCCGTTTTTATTCAACACCTGGTAGGCGAGTAGACTCACAATGACTACTCAACTTGGCATACAAAAATATATATTTAAAAACCCTGTATAATGACTGGTAGGTAGTGTGATGAAATCATAAACTTGGTTGACTTGCTGACTGTCTTTGGTCGACTGACATTTTTACGATGATAATCACTCTAAGAGTCACAAAAATGAAAAACGAGGTAGCGACATTTCTTGCTGACCCGCCCTGTATATCAGAAATATTTTTTAGTGTGGGATATTGAATATTAGGTCTAGGACTAAAAACAGCTCTTGTTTCAGCTTGAACAGCTGTTTTTTGTGTGATTTCGATAGTTCCTTGTATCTTGTATCTCATATGGAACGATAAGAGAATCAATAATAATAGGATTATTTCCTTTATTATCCGTTAATTTTAGTCTATAACTCAGCTGATTTAATCATCTTTCTAGGCTTTGAAAGAATATGATTTTCTGTATACGCCAAATATAGAACAACCAAGATAACGGCATCCTGTTTGAACGCTCCAACTTGAACAGCTGTTTGATTTCGGTAGTTCGTTGATTTCGTGAAAAAACGATAAGAGAACCCGTGTATGTCTTTTATACCAACTCGTTAATTGTTGTCTATAGCTCATCTATTGTAAGAGTATCAGATTTTGAAATATTCGGCGGATTCAGTGGCAGATAAAATGCATAACAATGCTTGAATATAATATGCACACATGAAGACTATTTTTCATATTAAGCCTCTCAATGTATAGGGTGAATCAGTCAGTAGTCGGACAGTGGACTGAGTTTTACAAAAGAATCATATTATGTGATGCATGAAAGAAATGCTCAATAGATCATATTATCAATAAGCCAAAAAGAAACAACAAGTTGTGTTCTTCTTTGCCAGTAGTCGGACACTTGTCCGGCTACTGGAATTTAATAAAAATAAATATCTAGTAACCGGCCACCGACTTTTCACTTTGAAATTTCAGTAAACATCAGTTTCAAATGATCTTAATGCAAATTAAGACTATTTGTCACACATACAAAATCAATATGAATTCATAAATTTAAAAAGAATAATTTTCACTCGCCTTTGAAATATCCTTTGCCTATATGTTTGATACACTATGTTAAAGACAGTCACGCACATCACTAAATTGGCGCGCTATTATAATTTCGATAGTACCAACTGCTCAATCGAAAAATGTCTAGAATGGCGTGGAAACATTGGTGCTACAGATTTCTCTTCATTTGGAGGTAATATGTTATTTGCAGGCAAACTTGAGAAAACTATGTTTCTATTTCAATAGAGTGATTCTTCATCAGGCTATTACATCAAGGAATGATCTTTGATTTTAGTTTTCGCGATAGAGGGTGTTGAAGTTGATCAGTAGGTTTTATTACTGGTTAAAATCGAGAATGATTCATCTAATAGACATCGTTAGGGTGGGAGTTTGAATTTTAGGTTTTTCATTAGTTATTCCTTGAAAGACACTTACCTGAAATGTACGTTGGTCAATCGTTAGCAAATTATTCCAATCGGCAACCTGCAGGGCTGCTATAATGTAGCTTGATACAGCGAAACTGAGAAAGGGAGATAGAGAGAGAGAGAGAGGGAAAGAGATGTAATAAGATGTGGGTTGAAAGTATGGATGTAAAAAACAGTTGTATCATGTCTTCTGACGAATACAGACGTGCACTAGAAGAATTTGGGTTGAAAGTTAGAAAGCTCAGTGCAGACATCCAATTGTATGAGCAGAAAGTTTGTTTGTTCAAAGATTTCGAGCAATTGAGTATTTGGGACAAGGTGTTCACAGAACCGAGACGCACAGCTGCACCTACATCGAGAAGAAGAAGAATTCAACCAACACAGCTACTAGATGGCGATACTGAAAGCAAGCTTCATCCTATTGACAGCTCTGAGCAACAACGTCTTCTACACAAACATACCGTACAATACAAGGAATGTAGCCGTATGTTTTGATGTGAATCGTACACAACAATGTGATTGGAAGATGATGACTAGAATGTATGTCAATGATAACAAACTACCTGTATATTCAATCGACATGCCACAACATGTTAATGAAAGCAGCATCGACTACAAATTGAAATTATCGTTTTCTGATGGCAGTGACGGCGAAATGGGAGACTGGCAGACATTTACATTGAAGAAATCCCCCGCAAAATTAGATGATGATCAAGATTCGGTCAATATCATTGCAATTTTGACACTTTGTTGTACACTAATATGTTCACTCATTTTAATCTCACATGTTATTTTCATTATACTGAGAAATAAGGGATGTGATGAATAAAAACTCTGAAATTACGATATATAGTTTTTTATTTTGGCAATAAATTACATAACCAATTATATAAAGTATCGACATTGTGGAGACTGCACTGGAACCTTCCTCCATGGAAATGATTCATGCAAGGTGGAATGGATTGTTGAAACGTTATTGGCTGCCACCAAGAATTGTCAAAATCTTCTAAATTCACAATGTGATTGGTCATCTCCAACTCTGCACATTTTCGCTGCAAGAACTGAATCTTTTGGTGTCCTCTAACGTAGATGATGTTTGTTTGCTGCAGGTTATCTCGTAGTATTTGATCCAACTCATTTAAATCCACATAACCACTGGAATATTTTAAACCATGAACGTAACGCTCCACATGATTTGCCATCTTTTTATCTTCTCTGCTCAAACTCGAAAATTCTACAGATGGCTTGAATAGAAAATGACTCGTCTTTTTTCCAATGCGAATGGTCATTTCCTTTGGAATGAATTCGCCATCAACCATGAACCCTTGAATGTCAACCAGTGCGATCTCCATGACTCTTCGAAGCAAACTGACGTCTGACTGATGCAGCAATACCCACCTAGGCAATATTTCGAACAATTTCGCTGAGTGGGAGATGTTCCATGATTTGATCGTGAATGATGATGCAATAGGCTTTGGTGTCGGGAGGGAAGCCTGTAGTCGCTTCAATGTCCAACTTTATGTCAACTGTGGACGACTTTAGACCCAGATGGCGCCTCGAGCAATCGATAACAAACATTGGTCGGGATTTGAATTCGGCAAAGTTTACTAGAGAGCGCTTTTCTTGACAGTTATGGTAGCTCTTGTTGAACTCTGTATAGTTGAAGTGAGCGTCAGCATATTGGTCTCGGGAAAAGTCCAATAGCATTCGTTCTTGCGGATAATAGTCGCTATTCAGAGCCAATCGTATGGATTTGATGTTGGCATTATCGAACAAGGTGACGTCTTCATGCAAATTATCGGCTTTTTTCGTTTGGAAAAATACTATAACATATCTTGGACTGTCCAATGCAGAACATGTCTTGACGGACCAGATTTCTATGGTAGATCCTTGTGTGAGTGCTGGTAGCTCGTGCAATTCCCATCTGCGAAACGGTATCATCATAGACTCATCTGCTTTGATACGTGTCAACAACTGCAACTTTATGTCATCGTTGGGTGTGAGATGTGGCACTTTCAAATTGATGCTTTCTATCGTTATTTTAGCAATACTCTGAGTCTGAGGAGATCCTTGCAAAGCAGTATTCGCTCTCTCGACAACCTTCACACTATTGGCATCATTGCGAGCTCTCACTAAACGGATTGACTGCTTGCCCCACGTTGCCACTTGATGATCATTGAAGATGGAAAACAAATGTTTCAGTGGAATGTTCATGCTAAACGTACCATCGGTGTTGAGGATCGGAGCATTGGGATAGTTCCAGCCTGCTATGGCTAGATGACGTGAGTCTTCAGGTGTATAACACAAGTATCCTCGCACAGTACTCGTTATTCCAGGATATCTGACAGTGTCCAATTCTTTATTACACAATTCATAGGTGCAGGAATCAAAGAGATAAGCTCCAGCATTGTGGGTTAATGTACCAGTACCACCACCGGTCACCTTCAATTTACCCTTGATGGTAATGATGCCTTCAAACATGGCCAACCACGAATCTGCTTGATTAACCGTTATATCGATGACATCATTGTTCTCGAATGATTTCACATATGGATAATAGGTACGCCATTCCACTTTAGTGATGCTTTCGTCGAGTCTGGGTTTGCGGAAAACGTCGAACACGGGTGCTAACAACATTGTAGTCTTTGAGTGATTTCAGAAACAGGACACTGGATAATGTCAATGTTTTTCTGTTGCTGCTGCTGCTCTTCGAAGACACGACTGCTTTGGTGTACGGTGTCGAGAGAACTGGTGCTGATGATGTTGCTGATGATGGTATATTATCTGATTTATAGGAGTAATCAAACACTAGTACCATCTTGCGAGTTTCTTCAATTCCAATCTTATGATGATTTCTTCACCTCTAAAATTCACCTGCCTGAAATCTTGGTCTAGAATCTGGAGTGTAATGTTGGGCAATTCCCGCCTGCTGACTATAGGTAGATAGATTAGATTTCTGGGAGTCTCGTCTATGGCGTAACCAGGATCGACTGCAACTGCAAACTCGTAGATCGTATGTGATGGTCTGTCGTTGTAGAGAGCTCCAGCAGTAACGTTGCTATCAATGTGAATGGTTCTCACTTTGGTTATGCTGACCGGCAAATCGGAAGTGTGGACTTGTTGTGCGTTCAACAATCTATTTGAAAATCCCAAGACTTGAGCTATGCTATCCTTCGGGCGAAAATCAATGGCAAACTGTTTGCTCGAAATCTCACACTTTAGTGTATTATTGTTGGGCTTCAACGAGAATATATCATCAACGTCCTTTGCACTTGAGATGCCCAATTCTTTGCGTATGAATTTCTCAATGTCCACAATGTCGTATGAACCTTCGGGAATATCGATGATCTTTCCCGCCTTGGTCTTATCTTGCAGATAAAACTTTGATCCTTTGTCGATATTCGGTATACTGTTGTATGAATGGAATCCCAACAATGCTAGTCCGTAATCAGAGTCTGGATCGAGTTGGAGTGGTGTCAAAAAGTCTATGGAGAGCGTAGATGTACGACCTTTCAACGTCACAATCAGAGACATGACTGATGCACAATGACCGAGTTACTTGGTCTCATTAAAAAGGAATTCTAAACATAGACGTCCACAATTACTTTGATTGAAATTCTGGTATTGATTGTTATTGTACAAGATTTTCGTGCTGGCACCCAAATATTGCGCCAATTCTCTGGGCGGTTTCAGATTGCCATAACTATCGAAATATAAGGCTTTTTTATCATTTTTTATGTAAGCCACCCAATGAGTGCCCGCATGATTGGAGGTATCCAAATTCAATACAGCACACTCGCGATGCCATGGACCGGTGGAAGGTAGAGTGTCCCGCATAAAAACACCTCGAAAATATGGTATTTTCAGCTGTTTGGCATACTTTATCACATCTTTATCGTACATTGATTTATTGGGTAGCTTGTCTAGAAGTTTTTTGAGTTTTTTGATTGTTTCTTCAAGTACAGTCCGAATCCTCTCGATGTTTTGCGTAGAAATAGGCCAGAACCCTGCTTGCCGATAGCCTCCATTGCTTTATTATGTCTTTGATCTTCTTCGAGCTTTTTCTTTGCATTTTTCGCATCAATGACTGTCTTTGCGACTGCTCCGGCTCCTCCAGCTAGAGATCCTAGGGCTCCCAAGGCAGCAAAGATTGGTATCAATGGTAGTATACCGCCACTGTGTGGAAGAGGTATGATTCTTGGTACTCTGATTCTTTTTTTACCGCCAGCCCTCTTGACTGCCATTCTGGCTGCATGGAGTGCTTTCAATGCAGATTTATTCAGACCACTTCCTGATGTTGTACTACCACCACCACCATCTGACTTTGATAGTACATTTTTTATGAATTTGATAATGTTGGATAGGGATTGCTGTGATACAAGACCCATGCCAAGTTTTCGTTTGACCTTCATTCCGGTGGTGACAAGCCAAGCAGCAGCCTTCTCTTTGAATTTAGCGTTCTTCGACTTGACTCTCTCCCACGCTCTATTTTCCAATATCCAATCAGCTTTGTGTCTGTCTTCTATTGAGGAATTTTGTGAATAGGCGATATCGTGTTCTCGACACGCGTCGTCCAACGGATTGATACCGGTGTCTCCTCTTGCAAGTCTTTTATCGAGTTTGGTACCTGGACCACAAAATCTGTAGCCTGGAATGTGTAATTCGATGGGAAGTTTATCGATCAGAGAATTAAGCACACCCTCTCCGTGGTAGAGCAACATGAAGACTGATGTGTAGGAAGTTCGACAACTCTGCATATACCTAATGAAATGAAAAATATATCATCACATGATGAAGATCATTCAACAAGAACGGATGTTACCCATTGTGAATTTGGATGAAATTTTGTCAACCAAACCACCAGTAAATAGTAAACATGGGAAACTGCTTCCCCATTCGTTCAGAGCAATCTTCTGCGGACCAAGCGGATGTGGAAAGACCAATGCGATGCTTTCCCTGCTGTTCAATCCAAATGGCGCGAAATTCAAGAACGTTTACGTGTATTCAAAGTCGTTGTACCAACCGAAATATCAATTGCTGCAACAAGTGTTGGATTCAGTGAAAGGTGTTGGGTATTTTCCCTTTAAAGAAAATGATGATGTCATCAGTCCATCAGAAGCGAAAAATCATTCGATATTCATTTTTGATGATGTATCATGCGACAAGCAGCAAAAAATTCGAGAATATTTTTCAATGTGTAGACACAAGGATATTGACGTAGCATACCTTTGCCAGACTTTTTCCAAGATACCGAAGCAGCTGGTGCGAGACAACAGTAACCTGTTGGTGTTATTTCGACAGGATGAAATGAATTTGAAGCATGTGTTCGACGAGCATGTCTCACCAGACATGTCATTCGATCAATTTAAAGCATTGTGCTCAGAGTGTTGGAATGGCAGTCAATTTGGGACACTAGTCATAGCAAAGTCGTTCGACATTAATGCAGGCAGATATAGAAATGGTTTCGATAAGTTCATAAGACTGTGATCTCTGGACCATTCATCAAGATGACGTCAACCAAGATGCATGATGATGTTGCTGATGCGCTGCGCAAGAAAAAAATCAACGAACTATCGAAATCAATCAGAAGAAAATATTTAGCACTAAAATTGGGCAAGTCTGAGGATGATGATGCGTTACAGAAAATATTCCAACCACTGACATCACCTTTGAAACAAATTGCCTCCGCGTCCAAGGTCATAGAAGAAAAACTCGATGGAACACTTTCAAACATCAAGCGAAGCAGAGCAAAATCGTTGGGGTTGAAGAAGGAGAAGAAGGAGGAAGAGGATGGGGAGGTGGAGAGGGAGCAATCGGATTTGAACCAAACTAATTTCATACCTATGATGGATGTGGCTGATAATGCTGGGCATACTGAAGATGATGATGAGGATGGTTATGACGATGCTGATGATGAACTTTTTGTAGATAGTGAAAATATCTCACCGGCTGCAATACATGATTACGTTGATCAGTATCCTGCGATGGCTCAAAAATATCTGACTGAATACTGGACAAATGATGAAAATATCGATACGGTTTATGGTCCCAAATATGATCCAGTAACATCGAAATGGTCTCTCAACGGAAAAGAAATGAATTTCCATCGAAGAACTGGAGATATACTTCTTGATGGCTTTCGGTTCCGTGGCACCCCAGGCCTCTATCAATTACTCTTCTATAATGATCCATCCTTTGCCAAAGATGATACGAACCCATACAAGCAAATACTCTTGCTCACCAAAGCTCATCTGAATTCTGCAGGACGTATGAAGTCCTCCCCTAGACTCAAATACGTAGAAATTATTCGTCCAATGTTCAGATCCAATTCCAGTGGTCGTGGTTTGAAGTTGACATACAACACAGCACCTATCGAATACATGTATTGGGATGATCCAAACGAATTGGTAGATAGATTGAAGTTGCTCATTGCATCACAGCAAGCCGGAAATACATCAAACGATAACGAGATTGTTGCCATCTTGAACGAATTAGAAGAGGCAGGCATAATAAAACATGTGTGACATTTCTGTGATACTTCCGTGACACTTCCATGACAACTTCCGTGACAGTTCCGTGACACTTCCTTGACACTTCAGTGACAGTTCCGTGACAGTTCCGTGACACTTCCTTGACACTTCCGTGACAGTTCCGTGACACTTCCTTGACAGTTCCGTGACACTTTCATGACATGTCTATGAGTGAAGGGGCTAATAATTGGCGAGGCAAAGTGCCGACCATTATCGATAACGTACAATACTTTAGTCATTAGCATAATGAGTCTCGACAAATTCGGACGTGGTTCGTTTCCACGCTCAGCTCAGATGGTGACAGTCAGATCTGGATTTTCACATACTCCAACCGGTGATATTGATGTTGGTCATTTGAAGATGTGTAACGTAAAACTGCCAACAGATGTCGCTGATGTTGCAAACAAACAATATGTGGATGAAGTTATATCGCAAATTAAGTTAGATTTCAAGATTGCTTTCGATAATTACGGTGAAAAAATCCGAAATCACCTTGCTGGCTTCAGCAACGAAATTATCGATGTACGAAAGAGAGTGGATGTACATGATCTGAAACTGGCAACGTTCAAT